CGGAGTGGTTTCGGCGAACGGAAATTGAGACAGGGCAGGAGAAAAACAATCGAAAATCGCGACCGCGATCATTAGAGGCCGAAGGAAGGGGATTGTGGGATCATGTGGATGGTGGCAGGAGTGCATGGGCTTGCAGATGCACTTCCCTTCTGACGTATGAAATAGATGTAGTTAGACAGACGTAATCAGTATCGCTATATTTTTTATGTTCCAATTATTTAACTATTTTTGTTAAATTTCAATAAATACCTGATTTCGTGTAAAGAAACGGGTGAACCAATTGACCGAAGGGCGGTGTGGATTTTGCGAGCGTATATTGAGGCAGGACGGGAGAAAAAAATCGAAAATCGCGGCGGCGATCATTAGAGGCCGAAGGAAGGGGATTGTGGGCTTTTGTGGATGGGCAAGGGCGTGCAGTTGCATTTCCTTCATGACATATGAAATAGATGCAGTTAGAAGTAACCTGTACCGCTATATTTTTAATGTTGTAATTATTTAACTATTTTCTTACATTTTAATAAATACCTTATTTCGTGTAAAGAAACGGGCGAACCAATTGACCGACGGGCGGAGTGGCTTTTGCGAACGGTAATTGAGGCAGGGCGGGAGAAACAAAATCGAAAAACCCTGCGGCGATAATTAATGCCCGAAGGAAGGGGATTGTGGGATCCTTTTTGATGGTGGCGGGAATGCAACGGCGTGCAGATGCACTTCCCTCTTTACATAAGAAATAGATGCAGTGAGACAGAAGTAATCTATCTGTATCGCTATATTTTTAATGTTCCAATTATTTAACCAGTTTTGTTAAATGTCAATAAATACCTGATTTCGTGTAAAAAAGGGGTGAACCAATTGACCGAAGGGCGGAGTGGTTTTTGCGAACGAAAATTGAGGCAGGGCAGGAGAAAAAAATCTAAAATCGCGTCGGCGATCATTAAAGGCCGAAGGAATGTGATATTGGGATCTTGTGGATGGGCAAGGGCGTGCATGGGCTTGCAAATGCACTTCCCTCCTGACATATGAAATAGATGCAGTTAGAACTAACCTGTATCATTATTTTTTAATGTTTCAATTATTTAACTATTTTTAATTAAATTTCAATAAATACCTGATTTCGTGGCGAGAATCGATTGATCCAACTGATCGAGGGGTGGAGCTGTTCTTGCGAACGAAAATTGAGGCAGGGCAGAGGAAAAATAAAATATCGCGATCATTAAAGGGCGAAGGAAGGTAATTATGAGGTTATGTGGGTGCTGGCGTGGGTGCAGGGGGATGCAGTTGCACTCTCTAACCTGATTTATGGAGTAGATGCGAAAGATATCCAAAAGTAATCTGAATCGTTAATATTTTGATGTAATTATCGAACAATTTGTATTAAAGTTCAATGTATACCGTAGTTAATGATAAAGAACATTATGATCATAGCTGGAAAGATATCGTTCTTCTTTCAGAAGCAACCATTTGCAAACACATTTAGAGACTTTCAATCAGTTATTTAGCTAACAAAAACAGCAAGGAGGCAGCACACAAACAAAACAGATGAAGCAGAACGGAAACCTCGATCGAGTCGAGGTGATAGGCTCCGAGTAACTTAATATTTTGTTTTGAACACGAATTATCTAACACAAAAATCACAAAACATTTTGTGGAGTATTTACCGAGTAAGCGTAAATAAGTACTGTATTTACTGTCTACTCTGTTTACTCTCTATTTACTTTGTTGTGTTTTTTCTCATTTTCGTCAGTGCAAAAGTTAAGAAAAGCAATTATCGTTTTATAGGCTTGTTTATTTTTATAAACGGGATATATTTAATTATTCTCCATGCGAAATGGAATTTTAAGTAGGTGATATCAAAGGGTAAAATTTCTTTACACAAAAACCAGTTTTGTATTAAACTTAAGCGTTTTAAAAATCAGAACGATTAATTTCCTTGTTTGTTTGTCCATTTTAGCATGTGACATTTGATTTTTCAGGTAGTTTAATAAAATTGATTGGAAGAAGGAACATCAACATTGGAAATTCTAAAGGTTGCCGAAATTTCTCATGCATCTCTAAACGACACAAATATTTCCTTTTCTAATGTTTCTTAAGCGCTGTCAAAACATTCCAACGTCTCATCTCGATGGTTCCAATCGAATAATCTTTGACCTGTAGACTCGAACTTATCCTTCGTAGATAGTGTTTTCTCATTTTCTTAGAGAACGTTTGTTGAAACCATACAAAGAAATTGATTGGACCTTCATCTAGAGTTTCAACAAACTGCATTGTTAGGATCAAATTCGAAAATGTGCTCTATTGTTTCAGTAATCGCACTGTGCGTTCTCCCTCACAACATTTTAGATTTGCTGGGATGTGTGTACTGGCTTTGTGGTAGTAAATCAAGCATTCCAAAACCTTTCCATTTATTATTGTGTTTACACATGTCTCTTCAGTTTTATAGGGCGATCGGCTGCGTTTGCTTCAAAGCTAACATTGCTGCTGACTCTCCACCGTCTCTGGAAGGCCCTTGGGTCGAGTCCGGCGGAGGCGAAATTTCGAGTCGCATGATATATCTCCGATCAATACCATGCAAAGAATACCACTGATCCGATCAATACCAGGCGACCGATACCAGGACTAGTCAGTACCAGGCGAATGCCGGAGCAGTACCCTAACAAATGGGCCACGGATCGCGCGCGATCTTTCCTTCCTTTTCTTTGCCTCATCCTCCTTCTTAAACCCACACATTTTACATGCACCACACTCGGAGGATGTTCCGGTGTCCCTCTTGGAGAGACATCTCAATGGGAAAATGCTCCACAAGCCGACGTGTAGGTCAGCTCAAAATCTGGCCATCCATTGGGTATGAACATCGCCATCTCACGAAATAAAACATTCACTACACTAACGGGACTGATGACTAGCAGATGACATGCCCGGAAACCAACCAGTCTACAGGACCAGTGCTCGGTTGGCGCAATTGAATTATACTCTCTTAGGAACGTGATCATTTCATTCAAAAATCAATATTAGTTTGAGCTTGGGTTTGTGTTAAATGTTACTCAGTTATATGTTCTTCATTAAGTGTGAGTGTATCTAGGAGAGAACACAATGAAGGGTTGAACTCAGAAATAGTCAGCATTTTTTTGCTCTCAATTTTCACAAAGAAAGTATTTCTATTAAGTAACTTACATAGTCAAACATTAAAATGATTCTTTGGATACATATTTCTTTGTAATTATATAAAAATATCGCCTTATTTAACCCAAAAATAGCTTAACCTGGTGTCTCTGCCGTCGGGATCTTTCGTGATGACAATTGTTTTGTGTAACGCAAAGAACAAACTAAAAGCAATAGTTTACACTGTGAAGTTGCCTTGCTCCTTTATCCTCAATAACAAGATTACATTTCTGCTAGAATTACTTTTTCAAATTTATTTGAAAGAATGTAACAACTTTTTCAACAATTCATGTTTTATTGCATTAGTAGGTTCTTGTAGCCAAAATAACGAGAAACGATCATCAATATAATGAAGCATGTTCTACGGATTCACGTTGAGCCGGAAAGCCATTGCAGTTATCCAAAGCATTTCAACACTTTAGGTGTCTCAAAACCCTCACCTCAGCGACGCAATCAGAGGGGGGCAGGGGGCGGTCCTCCTCGGGTGTCACTATTTTAGGGCCGACATCAATGAGAAAGATGTATAGATGAAATTATATAATTATTTATTTAAACTGTATATTTCAATTCTTTCGAATTACGTACAGGTTTTAATATATTATAAAAAAATGTCATATGAAAATATACTTTTATTTCTATAAAATAATGTATAAACTATTCAGTAATAGATATTTTTATATTTAATTTGCGGGGGGGGGGGGGAGTTGATACTCCATTTCTGCGGAAACTGTCAGTACGGTGGTCGTTGCGCGTCTAACATGAATTAATTCTTGCTCATAGCGTATAATGTTCAATGAATGAAAAATGTGCTCATGATTACAATTACTGTGAATTATTAGGGTATACGGTGGGGCATTAATACCAGAATTTAAGATCACTTGCACAGAATACTCTTCTGTCCATAGTACGTCACGCATAATTTTTAATAATATATTTTACAATAAATAATTTATTGGGTTAAATAATAGGTATAAAAATATTGCTATAATTATATTGCGGTAATTAAAGTTATCCCCAGAGACTCTTAGCCACAAATTAGCATGTGTTACTTTGCCAAATTTTTCATGTTTTAATGGAAATATGTTATGTGTTGAACAAAAACATGTCATTTATAAGTAGTTTTAAAGTGTTCTTGAAAGACGTTCTTCACGAGAAAACAAAATGTTCAAATACACAGATGAAATATAATAAAATTATTCTTTATAATCTTTCCTGATAAATGCGTCCATGGATTATTTTACGTGGTTTCTACATTTGCCTTGCGGCTTTGTGATGTGAATGGCTTATTAGGAAATTGTTATATCCACACAGACGTTGTACAAACTTTTTTAATTATTTTCGAAACATTATTTTAGAAAATTCATGTATTTTAGTTTTCAGTGCCCGCACGATAGATCGTAGTTTTTCTTTCGACTGATTCGCAGAAAAACATTTATAACACGGAATTGGTGAAATTCAATAATAACTTAAAATACAATTTAAAAAAAATTATGTATGATCTACTTCTTGACGTCTCCATGAAATTGATGTGTGGTGTAATGTAAGTGCATGAGCCTTTATCATTTATTTAACATCCCTCAGGATTATAACAGAGTATAACACTACTATAAATCATAACTATTGGCTTACTCTTTTAAATAATTAGTCTTTTCACAATCAAGTTCAGACGATGTCTACAGTGAGAAATTCTGTCATGAAAGCACGGGACAAAAAAAATTGTGGCAAAGAAAAACAAGAACGGGTAGCGAATATTTTGCCAGCGAAAATAATGAACTATATATGATTTTAATACTGTTGTTTTATTTAGGTTATTAACGAAACTGTATCTATTTATTACCAAAATGACTGCTGTATTTGAGGTGTGTTTCGTCATGTATCCTTGGACACGTGATTTCTATAATATGCCACTAAAGTACATTATTATGTTGTGATTGAAGGAGTCGCAGTCCCGACATAACCCGCGCCTATCTTGGATGCCAACAATATGGCGTCAAACAATGTCGCTGGGGGGTGATGGTTGTGACGGCGGCAGCAGCACGGGGATTCAGAAGCAGTCTTGAAAATTGAGCCGTTTATGCTGGCACGATACTGTTACATCACTGACTTACCAGTGAGAATTTACCATACCATACATTTAAGTTTTGTAAATTGTTTAAATAAATTTTTTGTATTTATTGCTTTTTGAATTTCTTGTTTTTCTAAAAGTATTGGGTAAAGAAAGGTACGATGCGGCATTAAAGACTGCAGATGAAATCAAGATTACGTCGCTCGCAAGCTAAAGAGCGAGAAGAACGCAGCCTTATTTCATTTTAATGATTTTATGGCGTTTCAAAGGAGAAGCGACGTTTTACTTGTGTTTTAGTGCGTTTCGCCCGGTCAGCACGGCGGGCGCTGATATTTGGATTAGAAGCCGTTCTCCGATTGGCTGGCGCGTGGGGCGCCGCGCGCGCAACGCGCTCTGTCATTGGCGGTCGTGACGTCACTGTTAGTTGATTGCTTATACCGCACAGAGGCAGGAGAGTCGACAGTGTACTTCGGGCGGTGAGAGAGGAAGGACGCGTACAGTTCGTTTGTGGAGCTCTAAGGTGCACATCGCTTCGCCGCTGCAGTCGTGACCGGCGTAGCATTCGCAGCAGCACTTGCGAGTTTAGGAAGGCGTTCTCCAGAACTCACCGGTAAGTCGCCCGCACGAGTCTTCGATGTTTCTACCAGTGGTTGTGCGATATTTTCTGGGAATTACAACGAAACAGACAGTTCGTAGATTTAAATTGTTGCGAGGAATAAAATGTACTCTAATCGTTAGTGTCATGTAGGGTAGAGTGAATTCCCCGAGTGAAATATCTTAATAAAATTCTAACATCTATTATGTGACGGTTTGAAGAGGGGGGTTTTGTATTAAGATGCGTTGATTTTGTTTACATTTCTTCCGAAGCTTATGTTCTTAACCAGTGTCGGGCAACAATTGCTTTTCAGACACGCGCGATGTTGTTTGGAATTATTGCAGCCTCTGTGTTTGAACGTTGTAAAACATGTACTGTTAAATCCAATTGCATGCGGTGAATAGTTGATATTAAACGAGTGTCTCGGGGAAAATAGGGTGAGTGACTTAGAGGGGAAAGCGTCGCACATGGCAGTTTGGAAGGAATAGGGCAAGAAGCGACGGAGGCGGCGGGCGAAGCAACGGTGCATGCTTTTCGCTGCCGCCGCCGGCGTGACAGTCGGCGGAGAGCACTCGCCGCCCCCCGCTGTCACAATAGCGTCGCCGGCCGCCGTGCAGTGCTCTTTGTGAGCGGCCGGCCGCGCTCGGCTGCGCGGGGTTTCCTGTTTGTGGCGTTTTGCGTACGACCGCTTCCTTCCTTTTCGGACGTCTGCGGTCGGCGGACTTGCCTGACTGGGCGACGGGGAACTGTTTCGCTTGCGGTGAACGATCTTGAGCGATGTAGAAATTATAACGCATGAAACAGTCTAAAATGCAAGATTTCGAAAATCGAAGGGAAATTCAAAATTTGGAATTCATGCTACTATCAGTATGCAAATTCATCACTGTCGGCGCCTTGAAAATTTGTGAATTTATTACTGAAATTATATTTCATTAATAAAATTGTTAATTAATGCAAAAGACAAAAAAATTATCAAGGTACATCATTTGACTAAATTCGTGGAAGTTTGAGAGTAAGGAAAAAATGAAGATATTCACAAGTTGCAGGCGCGAATCCACGGGAAGGGAAATGAGGGAAATTTCCCCCCCCCCGCCTAAATTTTTTCAGTGACTTGTTAATTTTTACTTGTCACGAGACTTTAAAGCAAAAGTATTTCCAGATTATCATTAAAACTAAAAAAAAAAAATAGTATCGCTGCATTAGCCGAGTGTAATCTGGGACGTTTTACAAAATCTGTAATATATATTGGACGATGTCATTTTGAATTCCCCCTTCCAAAATTCGTCTCAAGACCCGCCCCTGCAAGTTATCAAATATCCATCTCTCTCGTGTGATTCGTCAATTTTGTTTTCTTTGTAGTTAAAAAAATCGTGCGTTTTATGACATTAGTAAAAATTGTAATAAAATATTTTTGTCTTGGAAAACGAAGTTGATCGTTATGTTGATATTTCTGAGAATCGATATGAGACTTACATACTAATAGTTCAAGAAGTTAACTAAAATACTGAAGTTTGCATTCATAGAAGTATATTATATTTTGGTTTGCCACGCCTAAAATTAGTCCACTTCATTGCGACAAGTGCAGTGTGTTTAGGTTATTTCATAAGCCATAAATACTCGAGTACATTTGACGGACTCATTTATTTTTCTCTCTATATCTTTGAAGATACAATCTCTTTGCTTAGTGTATGACGTTGCATACTGCCGTTGCGCTATTATGAGCTGTCCATCACTATAGAATGCAGCTCCTTCAAAGACATTCTTCAGCTATGTGCAGCGTAATCCCAAGTACCGTTGCCTTTGCATACGAAATCCTATCGCCACTTGCTGCAAGTACGAACAAAATTTGCCTTTCCGTGAAGTCGTCCCAGATTCGAGGTTTCTTTCTCAGAGGAAACTGTTGTTCTTTTGTGTGGATCGCGAAGTGTGTCTGGGGGTGAGGGGGGGGGGTGGAGGTTTTCCTGGCTGGCCTAGCCCGATGCGCGGAGGCGTGGAGGTTTCCCCCCGCGCAGACGAGTACCGCTTTCTGCGCCTGGCGGCTGCGCGCGGGCCTCCGCCAAGGTCGCTGGCCTTGGCTGGACCTCCGGGCGCGCGCTGGCGTCCTGCACCGCTCCCGGAGCATCGGCGTTCAAATGTTTGGACGAGCGGTTTTAATTTTTTTTTTTTCAATCCCTTCTTTTGTTTATTCAACATAAGCACATGTAATGTTTGCTCTCCAACAATAAAGTGTACACATTTTGTTCAATATATTTACTTTTATCAATCGCTTCATTTGTTCATTTGACATAAACATTATTTAACATTTTCTCGCTGTCAAAGTGCAAGTGCTTAATTTATTTAATAATTGCAAAAATGGTAAAATATTTACCTGAATGTAATCAGTCTGAATATAGAGTTGTTTTTAACGTACACATAAATGGCTATTTTTTTATCGTTCGATATTGGTACTTGGCACAACTAATTTATAGCATTTTTATTTCATATAAACAGCATTTGCATTTGGTCGTACATAAAATACAGTACCACGTCGATGGACTGGACGATAGTAGTGTTAATTACGCGAACCCGAATTCATTAGGAAGTGTCAATTCGAGTAGTAACCTAATTATTAGTAATTGGGACGCGCATTTAGTATTTTTTAATTTAATTTTATTTTTTATTTAAAATCTTATTTGTAACTGCACCAGTGGCCTATTTAGAAAATATTTTTATATTGCATAGGAAGCGTTTTTAAGCGAATTGCTGTTTTTTGTACCCTGATTTTGTATTGTCGAGGATATCGCGCAATAATTATCTCGCAACCAATTGTTGAGTTTTTAATACAGCGTCGCTGCAATGTTTGCATACGCGGAAAATGTTTCTTTCTAAGAAGAGATAAAAGGTAAACGTGCTTGTATTAGTTGCAGTGCAATTTCGGAACATTCATACTGATGCGAATTTGCGAAATGCGAATAAGTTTTATTGGAATTGCCCTCTTTATTGTTTTCTATTTATATCTTAAAATTTTTGAACTTAAGTATCCTATATATTTAGGTTAGAGGGCTTGGCATTTAGGAGTGCGATATACGATTAATTTGTGCAAAATACTCCAAAGGGGACTGTAATATTAAGATGAAATTTAAAAAAGTAATTGATCTAATGTTCTAGTCAGAGGATTACTTTCCTTCGCACAATTTATTACAAGAACTATTACTCGACTCGTATAACATGTCTCCCCTTATGCCCCACGAAAAACAACTAATCCAAGCTTTAGCTATTCATTTTTCACCCAGCTTCCCCTTTCCCGGGGATCGGGTACTTCCGTCAACAATCGGCCCGCCTCGCGCCCGCGACAATCGCGCAGCGCAGCTTCGCCCCACCCTCGCGCACGGCGAGCCGGCGCGACAATGGGCGCGGCCCCCTGCACTGTTGTGTGCCATGTACCTTCGCAGGCTCCGCCCGGTAATTGGAGCGGAGTGCACGGCTGCCTTTGTGGCGCGCACGGGCCCCGCGCTGTGGGCCACATTCCGGAAAATTCGGGTCAAAAATAGCGTCGTTCGGTAGACCGAAATTCGCGAGCCTGGACGAACGGAATTGAAAACACCCGCGATAAACTGAAATCTGAGGAAAGAATGGAAATGAAATGGCTGACTGGATTACTATTTTAGAAGAAAGAAGCAAGTAAATCGGCTAAATGTGTTCAATCGAGATACTCAAATGCTCGAAATGAATCAATTAATAAAATGAAATTTACGACCTACTAGATTCGTCTCCTCGATGGCGGATTGGCACCAGCTGTACAAAGGCAGTTCAGTCTTGAGTAAGAAGACTTCATAGTATTTGATGGTCGCTTCCGGAGTTAGCTTCTATCAGTTGTTTGCAAATGTTGGAACTAACATATCAGCTGGTCATTCTGCAATCTGTTGAATACAAATAAAGTGAGGTTATTTTAAACTTCCCGGTCAGTTCCTAGTAAATAACTTTGTCCCCTATTTGCGTATTTCAGACACTGTGCATATCCCTGTACCCCTCGTCTTCCCCTCGGGACGTAGGGGATTCGCGTACTTTTGTTCTTCTTTTTTTCTTTCTAATTTTTTTGCGGGGTGTGGATGTTTAGGGAAATGCACCAACGGGAATCGGCTGGCAGGAGAGACTCTTTCAGGCGACTTTAGGGGAATAAATACGGCCGCGGTTGGGATTTGGTAGTTTCTGATAACAAAGGGAAATTCGCTTCTTTAATCCTCGTGAAATGGAGAATTTGTGGGATTCGTTGGGGGACTCGAAGAATGGTGCTGTAATGAAAGGTACGGGAAGGGGAAACGTTAATTTAATCTAGCAGACGATCAAAGCAGTACGTTGGGTTTATCATTCTAGATATAATCTGTTTGACAGATGCAGTGATTGCTCGGTTTACTAGCAGAATTGCTAGCAAATTTGCGATGTCGCTACTATGCCCATTTCCGTGTGACATTTCTTTCCAAATTTAACATTTTGACAAATTTTGTTCTAAAAACGAACAAACAATAGTGTTATGTAAATGCTGCATGTTTAGCACCCCAATGCTGCATGTTAGAAAATGTTCTCCACCCCAGTGCCTCCTGAAACCATCTGGTGCAAGAGGCATGGAGCCAAGGGAGAGTGCGTGCATTCGTACCTAACTCACGTAGACCGTTTCTCCACCTGCATTACTCCTCACTTTTCTACTAGGATTACTACAGTTCTGTAATGTAAATAACTTACCTAGTATTGCATTTTGATGATTATATAGCTATTACATTGAAGCTTTTCCGAGAATGATTCTTGGTCATTATTAATGATATGAGGTCTACAAACGGCTAATAACAGATTGGTTGAGGATTGTAAACCAAAGGAACGGCAGAGGTACACAAGCAGCCAATTCTGTTATTTTCGGCCGTGTCTTATATTCAGTTCTTCTCGTAATATCCTAGTCTAGTAAGGGAAAAAATGCATTAAAAAGTCATTACGTGGGATATGGCGAGTTAATTATACATCTTTACAAAAACACACTCGTATGT